TGATCAAAGTAGTAAAAATGAGAGATAGGAATCGGATTGCAAGATTGGAAAACACAAGATGTTTTAACACTGCAGTTTCTTTTTACTGTCCTAACCCATACCTCTCAGAAGTGTTTCTCTTTCCCATTGGACCACTTCACAGGAAAGAACTAAGGAAAGAATTTAATAGGTAGGTTCTTGATTAGAAGAAGCAGCTTCAATGACCACACAACAAACTTCACCTGTAGGTGCCAAGCCTGTCAGGTTTATCTCTTGGATCAGTCCTCTATTAAGCCTTGCTTTTGTTCTGTACAGATAGACAGGAAGAATGGCTGAGACTTCAAAAGATAGACACTACCACAGGACTGATCCAGTAAAAATTGGCATCTGCCAACACCCACTCTGGTTTTCATGTTGGAGGGATTGTAGATGTCATCTACTACTGTGTGTTTTTAATTTGTATAATAAGAAATGGTATCACTAAGGGACAATTGTCCATTTAATCCCCGTTGCCTATAAGTACCATAGGACCTTGTTTCACTAGTTTCAGTCTCTTTTGCTGAAAAGTACCTTACCCTTTGAGTGAAACCCATAATATAAGGTAGAAGACGACATTATTGCTGATATTTGCAGTCAGTGCATTCTTGTAGAAGGAAGCTTAAAATTCAATAACTTATTGGGGAGTAAACTCTTAATATTGTATAAATAGCACTTCTAAACCACTCTTCAATTTGTCTGAGAAAAGCCGATTGTAAAGTTGGTTACTTTGCAGTGTAGTTTGCAACTCGACATGTTTCTGAGGTGTGGGTGAAGACTTGTTTCTTTTGTGGCTCTGCCTGGAATAATATAATTGGACTGAAAATGGCAGATCATATGATACTATGCCACAGTGTATAAATGCGACATTTCCTATTCTGTTGTGTTAGATCTACAGATTATGCTGTGATACATAAAATTTCGTTTGCTAAATGAATTTTACTGAGCAAATTTCACACCAGTGGTTAATTCCCTGTCAAAGAGGAGTTACTGGTTTTTATTATTTGCAGTTAGTCAGGTCCTGATTCTGTCCAGTAGAAACTAAAAAGTTTCTTCTTGAAGAAACCTGAAAAGACTAGAATGTGTAGCTTCTGCATTTTTTTTTCCTTTGAAGTGCCAATGTAGTAGAAATTTCAAAACAGGCATTTGGACATAGAGGAAAAGTTTGGAATTAAGGATGTTCAATGGAAATAGAAATGTATCAAAAAAATAGTGCTATTCCAGATGGAACTGCATAAACAGGGTGAAAAATTACTAAGGATGCAAATATGTGGGAATGAGGGGTGAGAATTAGATATGGCAGCGGCAAAAATGTGGCGTCATTTCCCAATTCCTGCACGGTTCTCTGTCCACAACTTTGCATCATTATCACCTCTTCTTCCTTTGCTTTCATCTCTGTTTGCAATGAATGTGGTAACCATAGTTGCCATACTTCAGTATAGGTTTGTCTCTATAGTCAGTATAGTCTGAGGTGTTTAACAAATTGTGGCACTCTGGAAACCTAAGGACCTCCCTGCTAAGTGTCTGAATAACAGCAGAACCTAGGAAAGACCAGAGCATCTAGTTTTCTTAGGCTGCTTCTGAACAGCATCTAAGTGCCTAGCAGACCGTCAGGCAAAGGGTGAAACTGCATAGTGTGTTACTTGGAAATTGCATTCTCTTACATAGGTATATAAATTCTGGTTTGAGTCGTTACGTATGTGTAAAAGAGGCATTCTAGACTTCTCACCAAGTCATGTTGTTTAACAAATGTGGCAGTATGGGCAAAATTGTAGCTTCCATGGCTTTTAAATGTTGCCTGAAGTGACCAGAGCCTCTTACTTTAGGGATTTTAACTATATTCTAATTAGTTTAACAGAATTAATTAATTTTCTTGATTTTATTAAAGCTGAAGATCCACTACTCACTTGTGTAAAGGACAAACATAATTTAGTTTTAATAGTAAAAATAGTAAATAACCTATGAGACACCTTGGCAGCTGACGGAAGCTTGCTTATCACTCTAATCATGTTAGAGACACTGTTCCACATTGCATTAAGCTTATAAATTAAAAACAGACATAAAATCAGACATAAATTAAAATCAGACATAAATCCCTTGAAGTGTAACTGAAAAGCAGTGGGTTTACAGTAGCCACATTTACCTTCCCAGCAGTTAATTTATATGCATTTTATTTTCAAAGTGGCTAATGCTTACTTAATTAGAGTGATTTACTTCTCTTCTACCTCTTTGAAACAGCTCAAGTACCAGGGGTTGAAACGCTTACGGAACATACTGATGAATTTCAGAATGCCTCTCAAGTGTCAGGATCTGTAAGTATCTTCCCTTATGGATAATCCTGTAATTTTAAAAAATAGTTTGATAAAAAAATATATTTTGCATAAATAGAAAAGTTGTGCTTGCCAGCATTGTCATCCAAGAGAGAAGAAAACCTGATTTACCTAACCCTTCTGAATTTTTTCTCCCTTTCTGAATTCTCTCTCTTTTAAAATTTTTTTTCATTCTAGGAAGGGTGATATTTTGAAATAAATTATTATAATCTCATACAAAACCATATGTGTTGGACTTACATGTATAGCTCCCATTGAAAGTGTAGTCATTTTATACTATGTCTGTATGTTCTTAAGTGTTAGTCAAATATCCTTTTTACCAGACAGTATTCAATTTTCAAAATTAATTGAACAAAATAGTTGAAACTCTAAATTTCATTATGAAATGTGATATTATAGTGTCTAAACTATAATTTAGCTTTTTGGTAACATTTACTTGGAAACTAAAAAGCAAGAGGTGTCTATAGTGTATGACTAATTTATCCTTTTTTTTTTTTAAAGAATGCAGTATTATACTTGGTAACATTTTCATCAGTTCTTTTATTTTGAAATTTAAGAAAATATTTGCAGATTTGCAATTTCCAGAAAATATAAACACCAGTAAAATAGTTTTTGAAATATTATATAATCAGAATTTTGGCACTAGCTCTGTAGGTTAAAGAAGAGACTCATTTTTTTTCTAAGGCAAATAATTTGACAATATTTTTGCAAAGTTTTAAATAACTGTAAGATGACATTAATTTCTGTGCAACCATAGCAATACTGGCTTATAGCACACTTTAGTGTCAATAAAGTGAAAAGAAAGTCTCAGTCTTTGTTAGGTAAAGAAAAAAGGCAGTATTAAAGAAAAAATAAAAATGTCAATGCAGAAGGTTGCTGCAGTCTTTCAGGCGGCTGATTAATGACTACTGATAAAGCTAAATAATACTGAACATACTTTATTTCCAAACAGAGTTATCAAAGCAGTTGACAGATGCAGGGTTGCATATGAATTCCTAAAGCTCTTTGAGGACTTGGAGTGCGAGAACCTCACAGAGCATTTGTGGATATTGGGCAGAAGGAGTAAGGAGCAGAACTTCAGTTGCTGTTACTTTGAGCTTCTTTCTCAAGCCTTTCTACTTCACACCAGTGAACACAGAGGTATAATAGATTTTGCAGCAGTTTCTGAACCCGTGCTTTTCTTACTGATTTGGACTGGCAGCTACCAGATTTGATTTGCCAGTTCTGCAGATGTAGCATAGGGAGAGAGCAACAAATAAATTCAATTACACAGAAAAATAAAGATACAAGGAAACCAAAAGATGCTCTTGCTATAGAACTGTACAGCCTTCAACTGAGTATTTTTAGATACGTGCTCTGTGTGTGCATGCTTACAAATGGACAAACAGTATGTACATGTATCATTTAGTGCTCTGCTAGTTCTAGGCATAGGTAAGGTTGCCTGGAGCAGTGAACTGCCAGGGGTAGCAAATTGCCTGGCCTGAATCCCTGAAAGCCATGCTGGCTATTGCTGTTATTGCCAGTGCTGAAAAGAGAAGGCAAGAAGAGCAGTTGCAGCTATTGCTCTGCCCAGGGCAAAGGCAGCTGGCTTCATTTTTTGAGCCCCTGAAAAATTTTTTTCCCTAAGGTGCTAAGGAGCCATAAACCAGTATCTGTTAGTTCATCTGTTTTGGGGGTTTTTTTAGTGTTTTTTATCTTAAAGCTATTGCTTAAATAGTGTGTAGCTAGCTGATCATTTACTTTTCCTTCTATAAAATACCTTGTTATTAAGAATAAGATTCAGCTATCCAACACTATGTGTTTGCTTGCAACTGTATCTCCTCAAAAAGAAAAAAAATGATCCAACTGTTATTGCTTTTTAGGGCTCTGAAGGAACAGAGATCTGTTCCATGGTACCCTAATAACTTCATTCTTTGACAATCTTGATATATAAAATGTAGAGGTAAAACTGAGGTTCCTCATAGGAAGGCTGTTAAGGTAAATGTATTCTTGCAATGGATTCCCACAAATCCTTCAAAACAGTAAGAAATGCGGCTGTCAAATTATTTCAGAATTAGTACCAAAATGCATCCTTGTGACCTGAAATTATTTTCAGCTATTATACATGGGATACTATATAAGATACAAGATGAGAGAAAAATAGAATAAATTTCATTGATCAGGCATTTCTCATATATTGAATAAATCAGTTCATGGCATTCACTCAAATGTGCATATTACATGTTAAAATTCCTGATTTGGTTCAAGGTTTGCCATGTTTAGTACTGGTACTGCATTCCAATAGGGCAATTTGAGTCTGTTGCTAGTTAAATGGATCATTATCATAAATTTCTCTATACTTATGTATATTTGACAAATTTTCTTTAAAAGTGCTTCAGCCTTCAGAGAAGTGTTTTGCGAAAAAATGTGGGATAAATCAGGAAGAATTATGTGTAAGGATCTTTAGAAAAGAACCGTGTGCATTCTTTTTTCATGTCCTGTGTATAAGTCTGCATGTAAGGTCTTTGATGTGGAGACTAAAGCAACCAGGATGCCAGTACTTAGAAGAGATAGGCAACATCTGTGTCTATAACGTGGTTCCTGTAATTTATACTATGGTTACATTATGATTTTCTTGTAACACTGTATATGTTTACTGTTCTATTTCTGAAGAATCTGGAAGGTTTTGTTATTAGACCGTTTTTCTTTAAACCTTTTTTAAATAAAATCTTTTGCTACACTTTATTTTTTATGAGAAGAGATACTTAAAAAATAGAGAACTTATCTTTTCAGTGCTGCACAGTCCCAGACAAGGCATACTGAATGAATAAACAAGTAAAGCTTGCAAAAAGCAGGTTGAAGTATTTACAGGAATCAGCACTCTTCCCAGGTGTTTTGCAAGGATTCTAAGTGGGAGCAAGCATTCAAAGTGTCCTTAGAGATCCTAGTTTACTGCAGGGCTCATTTTCTGACATATATGTAATGTAACAAAAGCTGCTAGGCAAAATGCAAAGCTTTTACTTGAGATTTTTGCAGTGTGGTGAACTCAGTGTCCCATTTTACATTTATGTTTCTGTAAATGAGTTTTATAAATATTTGGCTAGCAAGCTGAAAGAAAACACTGAAGTGATACTAGGAAAAAAAATAGGTGGGCTGGAATTCTGACTTAAATGAAAAGTAAGGTATCAGGAGAAGGTACTAAATTTACAGTGACAAACAGAAAGGAAGAGGGCACATGCACTGGGTAGTTCGCATTGAGTAGCCTTTGCCTTCCCTCTGAGTTGTTTCTTCTACCACCTGGATGTAACAGGACTAACACTTACTGGATTTTGGTTTTTTTATGTGGATCTTTGCATTCCCACATCTTGCCTTGCATGTGCACATAAAAAGATATCTTTTTCTTTGCAAATTATCCATGTAAGGCAAACTAATCCAAGTGTAACAGAAATTGTGGAAAAAAAGTTGTCCGACTGCAAATTGCATTTCTGCATGAATTTGCTTTAGCTTTTTGCTCTGTATTACTGTGAGAAAAACAATCTAATGCATTGTTTTATAAAGGTGTTTTGGTTAAAGTAAATTTTCTCCTGTTTTTCCCTACCACTTTGAAACTTTTTAGTCGCTTTCCTAGAAGGAATACACACATGGATTTTCTGTGAGAAATTCAGAAATTCCTTAATGGTAATTAAATTGCAAAATGACTAGAGGCTTCTTGCACAAGGAAAAAATAAGCTTTTAATTCTTGCTATCTGTGTATGTTGAATACCACCATATTCCAGTGATACATGCTTTAAATTGTAATTCTTAGAATTTTTCCTATCTTTTATCACTATTTTCCCTGAGAACAATGCTGAGAATTAATTTAATTACTTGTGCAAGTGTGAGTATAAATGACAGCTCCAAATCACCCGAACTTCAGTATTTAACTGAATCTATGAATTTTTTTCTCAATTGGGGTTACTGTTTGGCATTTAGCAGGTTAGTAATTAAAATAAGTATTTAAGGTTCCACTGCCACATCAGGAACAACAGCAGTGTGTGTGCAAGGTAGTATGAATTATAAAGGTTATATAGCTTATGTATTATACACATAAAATGAGTAAGTTCTGATACAAAAGTTTTCAAATCCGAGTGGACTTTAATAAGTAGGTGGAAATTCAGGTACATAAAGTCAAAATTTTAAATTTTAACTTTAAATTTTAAATCTCCTGTAAAAATAATAACATATACTATTAGATTAGTGCGACTCTTTCACAGCTAGTCTAAAAAAACCTGCAAATGTGTAAGTTTAATTACTATTAGCTAAATTAACAATACAAGATAGTAGAAGAACATTATATCAAGGTTTTGGGAAATAATTGGTGTTTCCTGCAAGTAGTTAAACAAGTAGTTTGAATTATATACCTTGAACTTACTTGATTGAGACCTCCTCTATGTAAAACGAATTCCATAAAATAGAGACAGCATTTTGTACATACAGCTGCAAAATAATTTCTTACTTTATAAATTCTCTTCTACTTTGAAGAGAAAAGTAGAAAATACTTAAGTATTTTTAAGTAATATATTTAAGTAATACTTAAGTAGAAAATACTACCTGAAATACTTAACTTTTGTTTTCACTTCTTACCTGCTGGTATTCTTTTTGCTGATATCATGTTGCATATTGCAAAACTTGATCCCACTTGGGTGCCTGCCCGACCCCTGTGATGCATGGCAAGGCTGCCCCATCTCCCTGCCTGTACCCCTAGGGGTAAGGACTGCTTCCAGAAAGACCTCTACTCCTCACAAGTGCAGTTCATCAACCCCACTGGCAGGCATTGCATGCAGCATGGTGTTAATGCTTCTAAGGAGACCTTTCATGGGGCAGACAGAAGGGCAGATGTCTTGTGAAGTGAAATTACTGTTACTTGAAAATATTTAAATATTTTAAATATTTAATCCTCTAAAATGTAATTTTTAAATTGAAAGATTTTTCTGAACTCAAAAAAAAAGGAAACAAAAATATAA